ATATGTTTAAGAGTTATTTATCAAGTAAAATGGGAAGGTTTTAATGATAAACACGTTATGAGAATAGGGATGTGTGTGCGTGTGTGTGTGTGTGTGTGTGAGAGAGAGAGAGAGAGAGAGAGAGAGAGAGAGAGAGAGAGAGACAGAGAGAGAGAGAGAGAGTGTGTTTAGGAGAAATTTCAGTTCTCTGGACTGTATAACTTGGCAGATAATGTCTCATCTAATGAGATTAGAAATTTAACAGAAGGAAAAAGTTTCAAGAGATGAAAAGGTAAGCTGATGTACTATTCGTTCTCTTGTCCCTAGATATAATACTTTTGGCGATTAAGATTTTGCCTATAATTAACTATGTTACTATCAAAATTTCATAAATACAAATTTAAAACAAACCAATGAATCAAAACTAAGTCAACTCAGAAAAATTATTTCAGTGTTGTGAAACTATCTGGCCTGCTAAGCTAAAATAGAAATGCTATTTCCTTTATAAAAAGAAGGGTCAGGTAGCAATACTAAATTTCTTAAAGAAAATACAACCACTGATTGTAATGTCTGTGGCTTTGGGGAAAACATAACCCCAAATTACAGTGGCTGTGGTTATAAACTATTACGAAGAGCATTCAACGTCAGAAATAGTTTGTCTTGTATGCACTGGCATGCTTTCACAGGACTTTGCTTGAACAGCAAAATTAATTACTCTCTTCTTTTTGTCCATGTTGGTGTCAATAACAAATGTACTTTCCTTTCTTTTTTTTTTTTTAAATATATTTTATTGATTTTTTACAGAGAGGAAGGGAGAGAGATAGAGAGCTAGAAACGTTGATGAGAGAGAAACATCGACCAGCTGCCTCTTGCACACCCCCTACTGGGGATGTGCCCGCAACCAGTGTACATGCCCTTGACCAGAATCGAACCTGGGACCTTTCAGTCCGCAGACCGATGCTCTACCACTGAGCCAAACCGGTTTGGGCTGTACTTTCCTTTCTTTAACAAAGATTTTTAAGTCACACAGAATTAATCTAATATGATACTCATATAAGTCAGAATCAAAAATAATACTTGATATCTCAGAAAAAAAAGTAAAAATCTATAATCAACTCTATGACTTAGTCTTACTTTACGACCAAAGCCAGACAAAATCATCTTTCAAATAAATTCGAAGCTATATGTGGCACATTCTTAAGTATTGTATTTTTCTGTCATATCAATAGTTTAATGTTTATCTCAGCAAAGGATGACACTATCAACATAGAGAAGCTGTTTTATTTTCCTTACTTTCTCAGGAGTAATTTTAGTTGCTTAAAATTAGACTGATTGCTTTTTGCTTTGCCATAGTCTATCCTTTCCTAATTTCTAGTGTGACTTAGTGGCTAAGGATGCTACTTGCTGCTAATTAGAAGGTTTACTTGCAGAATTATTTTTATTAAAGAAACATTTGAGTGCTGTGAAGTGACTTAAATCTTAGAGTTCAAAAACAAGAGCTTCCAGGCTTTCTAAATCAGCCTCTTCAGTAAGTACAAGACAGTTTGTAGATTCTTGGAGAGTAGTAGCTCTTCAGGCTGTATGGATCCCAACTCGCTGCCCATGAACTAGAAATCACGATGGATCTTGGCCTCTGTAACTGGACAGGAGGTGGGCAGAAGGTGGCAGAAGCTACTGTTTATGCTGGTGACCTTAAGCCTCCTAGAAAAGGTGCATAAAGCCCTGGCCTCTCAATCTTGGACAATAGTGTGATACAGAAAGCACCAATAATGTTAATATTGTACCTTCACAATTTTATCTGAAATACACTTGTTAGTGTGAGAGTAGTTCCACTATTGCATAGTTAATCTCAAATGGCCACAATTTTTGCTAGATAGAAGATGGCCACATTCCACACAAAAATTTCATGTAGAGATCTGTCCAGAATTTTTTTGTTGTTTTTATTTGTCTTCTCAATCCCAAATTTTAATCTCCAGCCATAACAAATCACTTGAACTCCAGAACCATATTTTTAACTATCTACCCAACATTTCCTTTTTCTAGGATTAATAGGGACCTCTAATTTAATATGAACAAATTGGATTTTTTATGCTCAAGAAACCTGAGCCTTCTTCACCAGAGTAAAAGAAGTCACCTTTTGAAATCACCATCTATCCAATAATTTATTATGGTAGACATTAGTTTTCAAAAAATAGCTTTATGAAAATACTAGAGGCCCAGTGCATGATTAAATCATGTGCATGTAGGGTCCCCTGGCCTAGCCTGCCATGAGGGCCATGTCCTCTGCCCCGAGACACCTAGACGCTCTGCAGACTTTGCTGGCACCCCATGATGCTCCACTGATGCTGCTGGTGCCCTAGGGGATTGTGGGTGAGGATAGGGCCCAAGAGGTGCACCAGGACCTCCTGGTGACCGGTTGTTTGGTTGTTCCACCATTACGGCATCAGGACCTCAGGCCTTTTATGATATAGATTATTTGCACGTATAATAGTCCTAACCGGTTTGGCTCAGTGGATACAGTGTCGGCCTGGGGACTGAAAGGTCCTAGGTTTGATTCTGGTCAAGGGCATATACCTTGGTGGCGGGCACATCCCCATTAGAAGGTGTGCAGGAGGTATCTGATAGATGTTTCTCTCTCATCAATGTTTCTAACTCTCTATCCCTCTCCATTCCTCACTATAAAAAAAAATCAATGAAATATATTAAAAAATTATTTGCAGGTAATAAAATTCATCACCATAAAATAGATATTTTGATAAGCTTTGTCAAAAATCATCAAAACAATTATAAAGTATCCATCACCTTCAGTTTCCCCCACCCCTCCCAGGCAACAATTGATTTCTTTCCCCTCAAATTAGCTTTGCCTTCTCCAGAATTTTGTATAAACAGAATCATGCAGCTTGCAAATTTTTTTTGAGTCTGGCTTCTTTCCTAACTTCCTCATCTAAACAAGTCCCTTGCCACCCATTCTCAGCTAAACACATAATCCTGATTTTGTCTTCACAACCTATATCATTATATGGTATTACATTATTTATTAATGGCTTTTTTACTTGAATATAAACTCTATGAGTGCCTAGGGACCTTGTCTATCTTGTTAGATGCTATACCAAAATATTCCAACAGTTATCTACAGTGTCAAAACATGGTAGATGGTTAATAAATATTACTCAATGAATAAAGAAATTAAAATAACCCCTTCAAGTTTTTCCTATTGAAATTATACATTAAATGATCAAAAAGCTGAATTCATACTTTATTCTAAGATGAGAATATTGGGAGGGAGAATAGCATAGTGGTGAGCTGCAAGGCCTCTGGAGTAAGGCTTCCTGATTTTGGATCCAAACTGTTGCCTTTTCCAAAGTTATTATGGCCTCGAGCAAGTTACATAATCTTCCTAAGCTTTAATTTCTGATCCTGTAAAAATAGTTTCTGCCTCATAAGATGGTTGTGAGGATTAAATGAGATCAAACATGTAAAACAATTACAAAGTGCCTGGTACTTAGAAATAAATTAATGAGAGCCAATATTGTTACAATTAGTCAACCCTACCACCACCAGCACTATAACTACTATTTTCTTTTTCTTTTTCTACAGCCAAAACTGAAGAACAAATTCCATAAAAATAGCTTTGTAGCAAACAGCTTGAAATACTTGTCTAGAATAAAGCCAAGGAAATGAAGCTTGAACATGAAGAACTATTATTACTTTCCTTATTGATATAAGTGATGATAACATTCTGTCAATTTTGTAATGTCTAATATTGCAGGTATTTTCCTGAAAGGAGTAACAAGGATGTGAATTATGAGACTGACAGTAAAAATCCTCAAGCGTATGAACAAGTTCAAGAGGCAGGATTTCAGAATCCCATCACTTGTAGTCCCTGGGTAAAATATATTTACAGATTATATCTCTGGTCCTGCAATTTAGTTAACTGGTATTATTTAATTAGAGATTTTAACAAACCAATTTGTAATACTTTATTCCTTTTTTAAATTTGATTCTCTAGGGAATTAATATAATCAATGAACAAAGTGATGTCTATAAATGTCTACAAATTGGTGATTCCCTGAAAAGTCAATATTAAAATGTTAATGCAGCCCTAGCCGGCTTGGCTCAGTGGATAGAGCATCAGCCTGCTGACTCAAGGGTCCTAGGTTTGATTCCAGCCAAGGGCACATGCCTGGGCTGTGGGCTCAATCCCCAGTGGGGGTCGTGCAGGAGGCAGCCAATCAATGATTCTCTTTCATCATTGATGTTTCTATCTCTCTCTCCTTCTCCCTTCCTCTCTGAAATAAATAAAAAAATATATATTAAAAAAATGTTAATGCAGTAGTACCCATACTTGTAAGTTGATATGTATTTTCTTCCTATCAGAGGTGTCCCTCTAGAAAAAAATCATATATAGATATATAGATAAACTATAAAAATATACATATTGTGATTTTTTCTATAAGCATACTTTTTGATAATCAACCTACCTAACTTCTAACCTACCAATTTATTATAACATCAAAATTAAAAACATATATATATATATATATATATATATATATATATATATTGATTTCAGAGAGGAAGTGAGAGGGGGAGAGAGATAGAAACATCAATGATGAGAGAGAGTCATTGATCAGCTGCCTCCTGCATGCCTCACATTGGAGATTGAGCCTGAAACCTGAGAATGTACCCTTGACTGGAACAAATCCTGGGACCCTTCAGTCCACAGGCCGATGTTCTATACACCAAGCCAAACAATCTAGAGCTAACATTAAATTTTTAATGTAGATGCATTGACTAAACATAAATTTGGATTGTATTTTGTTTTTAAAGTAGAGTAAAAAGGCAAGGTTAAAAGTATAAGAAGATAAAAATAGTTATATTAAGAATTGTTTACCAAAGGCTAAATTATTAAATACTGATATGTCCACTAAGTTGATTTAAAGTAAGATAAAATAATAGTAAGAAAACTATATTTTGAGAAAAATAAGAAAAAATATTCACAAAGAATTAATTTTACTAACCTGACTAATTTTTCTTTGTTCTTGTATAGCTTTTTGAATTGCCTGAGATACTTCTTCTTGATCTTTTGCATGCTCAGTCTTCCATAATTCCCTTTCCTCAGCATGGACTTTTTCCAAAGTTTTTCTTTCTTCTTCTATGGCTTTTAAAACTGCATCCTTCATTGCTTCTTTCTCAAGCTTCAAAACAAAAAATGACCAAAACAAAAATAATTTAAAGGATGACTGCACAATAATTCTTTGAAAAAGACAGACTTGGGATAATCTAAAAAACACTCAACTTCATTTTGCTTCTACATAATTTTGTTCTGGAACTGTTGTTTTTATGCATATTTAATAATTTCTGAAAAATAAAGTCAATTATTTGTTTTTGTATAAATAACCAACTTATTTCGCTGGCATTTACAAATGCCAAAGAAACCAAGCCTTAGCTTAAAGAACTGTGGTTAAACTATTTGGTTTGTTTCCTATAGTAGGTGTACAGGTTAATAATGGTGAATTTTGTAATCAAAGAAAACACGATAATTTCAAGAGAAATATCAAAAGTGCTTTATTCAAGGTTAGCTACACATTTCCCCGATCTTCCAGGTAATTTGTAGATACCGTCCCAATAGAACTTTTCTTGTTTGAGGGCAAACCATTCAGAGACCCAATTTTCCACTTCTTCGTATGTTCTGAAGTGCTGCTCAGAAAGTATGTGAACCATCGATTGGAACAAGTTGTAATCTGAAAGAGCAAGGTCTGTTGAATACAGTGGGTGGGTTAATACTTCCCAGGCAAGACCTTTTAACATGTCTTCAACTGGTTTTGAAGTGTGTGATGATGTGTTAGCATGAAGCAAAATTACTTTGCCGTGTCTTCTGGCCTATTCTGGTCATTTCACAATCAAAGCATGGTTCAAAAATTATTTGTCGGTAGCAATCAATATTAATAGTTTCACCTGGTTTTAGAAGCTCATGATACACCACATCTTCCTAATTCCATGAAACACAGAGCACTGTCTTCTTTCTGAAGCGATCTGGCCTTGCAGTCGATGTTAATGGTTGACCTGAATCAACCCATGATTTTGTGCATTTGAGATTCTCAAAATAAATCCACTTTTCATTGCCAGTCACAATTCGATGCAAAAAAACTTTCTTTCGTGCCATTGAAGCAACATTTTACTTATGACTTTTTGGTTTTCTATTTGTCTTTCATTCAGTTGATGTGGCACCCACTTTCCTTCAAAATCTTTCCCATTGCTTGTAAATGATCGGAAATTGTTTACTGAGCAACTTTTAATATTTCTGTAAGTTGTTTTAGAGTTTGACATGCATCTTCATCCAATAATGCTTGTAATTATTGTCTTCAAATTTTTTCAGTTGACTTGAACTTGGCATAGTTATCCTATATAATAAAAGCCTAATATGCTTAGTGTCCAGTCATCCATTCAACCAACCAAAGCATAATATGTTAAGGTTGCTCAACTGCTCGCTAATAATATGTTAAGGCCGCTCAACTGCTCGCTATGACGTGCACTGACCACCAGGGGGCAGATGCTCTGACTGGTAGGTTAGCTTGCTGCTGAGGTCTGGCCAATCAGGACTGAGCAAGATGGGCCGGACATACTCTGGACCCCTCATGGGATGTCAGAGAGCCAGTTTTGGCCTGATCCGCTCAACACAGGAGCATCCCCTGCTAGTCACTATGCTACCACAGGGGAGCACCACTCAGCCAAAGCTGGGCTCAAGACTGGCAAGCACAGCAGCAGTGGTGGGAGCCTCTCCAGCCTCAGTGTCAATCAGACATCCCCCAAGGGCTCTTGGACTGCAAGGGTGCAGGCTGGGCTGAGGAACGCCCCCACCCCGGAGTACATGAATTTCATGCACTGGAGCTCTAGTTTATATGAGACATTTGTTTATGAAATTTAAATGCAAATCTCAAAAGTCAGTATATGTATTTAAAGGTATACATATATACATATTTAATATCTATGAATCATTACTCAGATTAGCTATTTCAAAAACGGCTTTAAAAATCACATATCTTGACAAATAATTAAATACATATTTACACACATCTTTACATACTCGCATGTGCAAAAACACTCAAACATATTACTTGTATGATACCCACTAAATACCAAGTGGAAATCAGTGTCCACTGATTTTTGAAAATTTTTTAAATTCTTTTAACAATTAATTACTAATCTGAATGTAAAGCATTTCAGCATCATCATAATATTGTATAATGTGAATTTAACAAGAATATGAATGTAGTATCCTAGCATAAAAGGAAAAATAACAAAGAAAATAATTGTTTTTGTTTTTCTGGAATAAAGTATTTTACAAAAGTAGATTAGTTGTACCATTAATGAACTGTTTTTTAATTCCAGTTACAAAAAGAACCCCATTAGTACAGAGGTGTTTATACCAGGCAAATAAGTGGTAAGTACAATTTTCATATGAGAATAAAAATTTTAAATCTAGGCTTTGAGGTGGGGGTAAACATAACAAATAGAACAGATACATTTTATTGGAATTACACTACATGATAAACTTCTCAGATGGAAATACCTTTGCAGCAGATACTAATGAGTCTTTATTTCTTTGCCTTTCTTCCTCCAAACATTTTTCCAATATTTCCTATAAATGATAAGACAAGACACTAAATGTATTATTTGAAGTAACCAAGCATATTATTTCCCACTCTGAGCAAAGCTAAAGCATTACCTTCTGTTCTTGAGATTGCTGTACCAAAGCTTCCTTTATTTTTTCTTTTAACAGATCCTTCTCTGTATCTAGCATTTCAAGGAGCCTCTGATGCTACAAGGAAAGATAAATGGATTATGATTACACTCTGTGATCTATAATCTCTGAACAAGGTGGAATTCATTTGCCCAAAATATTGTATTTAACTACAGATTCAAAAGCTGAATCTAGAAAAACAGTCAATTTTATGTGATAGTTTATGTTAGAGCACAGAGTTCATGTATTTACTTTTATTCCAATGTACTAGTGAAAAAACACACAGAACCATCAGCAAGTTATAACAAACTAAGTACTTAGATTTTGAATGGCGTTTTCTTATGGGGAAACACAACAAAAAAATAAAATATATTCCTATTCTCATGGATTTCTCTTTCATTTACAAAGGGCAAATACTATATTTTCTCAGATTTATAATGCTATTTATATAGAAGCTTCCTTTAAATAAAAATTAACTCCGATACCCAAAATTTAAAACCAGATTTATGTCTTTCAAAATAGTTCTAACGTTGGTAACCTCTAATCTATTTTATCTTTATGAATTTCACTATTCTAGATATTTCATATACATAAAATCAAACAGTAGTTGTCCTTTGAAACTTGCTTATTTCACTTAGTGTACAGTTTTCAAGATTCATTCCAATTGTACTATGTATCTAAAGCTCATTCCTTTTCATGATTGAATAATAATCCATTATAGTATATACCACATTTATCTGTTCATCTGCTGATGGACACTTGGCTTGTTTCCACCTTTTGGCTATATTTAAATAATATCACTAGAACATTCACATACAAATATCTATTTAAATCCCTGTTTTCAATTCTTTAGGTATAAATCTAGGAATAGGACTGCTGGGTCATAAACCAGTAATAACTCTGTTTAACCTTTTGAGAAACCATCAAACTGTTTCTATAGCTGCTGTACCATTATACATTCACATGAACAATGAGAAAGAGTTCCAAATCTCTTCATATCCTCTACAATAGTTGTTACTTTTTTGCTTTTTAAAAAATTGTCATTTTAGCCGAAGCCGGTTTTGCTCAGTGATAGAGCGTCGGTCTGAGGACTGAAAGGTCCCAGGCTCGATTCCTGTGAAGGGCATGTACATTGGTTGCGGGCACGTCCCAGGAAGGGGGTGTGCAAGAGGCAGCTGGTCGATGTTTCTCTCTCATCAACGTTTCTAGCTCTCTATCTCCCTCCCTTCCTCTCTGTAAAAAATCAATAAAATATATATTTTTTAAAATTGTCATTTTAGTAGTTGTGAAACTGTATTTCATTATGGTTTTATTTCCCTAATGATTAAGCAAGTTAAACATCTTTATAAATGCTAACTTCTACTTCTGACACTAACTCTCCTACTCCACTACACTATTATTAATATTATCTTTACAAAAAGAGAAATGATTACTGCTCTTTTTGCCGCCTTAATAAGGGCCTATAGTAGAAGGTGCAATGGATTTGAGGTTTGTTCACTGACTGGGATTCTGCCAGAAGTAGGGATGTCTTTCCTCTCTGGGATAGAGATTAATTTAGTTATTTTACCACAATAAACTAGAAATTATTAAGTATTAAGAGAGAGCTTAGCCCCTAAATTTCAGCCTCCCTTCATTTTATCTAAAATATAGAACATATCGAGAGATTGGCTACATTAGTTATCCCTTCTGTATCAATACAGAATTCTTTAATGGTCCAAAAGGTTCAGCAACTGGAAATGGTTCACATGATTTGTGAAGAGGGATGATGGTGAATACATTTTTTGTACCTTATTAACCGATCATCCCAAGGAAGGGAAGTTCAGAACTGCTTTTGTTACACAGAAGCTTAAATTGAACCAATGGCAACATCCAATCATAAGTCTCACTTTCAAATATTTATAATTGTTAAACAAAAATAGACTTTCAACAAAATTTGAAGGACAGAGACTTACAGCATTTTAAAAACCATTATAAAAATTAATGAAATTTATACAAGTACATTTCATCCAAAAGTAGTGAAAAGTTTGCTACATTTTACTTATCCAAAATATTCTATTGATTGCTTCTTAAAATTATATTGTAATTTTTAGCTAATGAAGAAACAAATGCAAACTACAAAGTTATATTAATCTTAAAGAGCACTTAATGCAAGTGTGTCAACGTCAGGCCTTTGAAATTTAGCCTAAAACAAAAGGTACTCAGAAATAGGTTATTCCTTTTTCCCCCTTTGCAAGAAATTCTTCCAAGTGAAAAATGTTTGATGCAAACTCAAATATAAATATAGAGGTTCTGTGGTTTTCACTGATTCCTGTAAAAAATTATACATATAAAAGCTCTTTTTTCCTGGAATGTGAGTCACAAGAGATATTGTAAACAGACTTAATCACAGTCACAGATGCACAGTTTTTTGTCTATTAGATTTTAGACTAAGCAGTCATGGAAGCTCATGCTTAGTTATAGTTATCCATGTATCACAGGCCCACAAACTTCACTTTACTTTGTATGTTGTATGTTGTGTGTGTGTATGTGTGTGTATGTGTGTGTGTGTTTGTGTAGTGCATAGTCTAATGCAAACCCGAGAAGCATCTTCTCATAACTTCTATAAATCACAAACATTGAACAAGATCAAGTGACCTGGCAGGATAGTCTTAAAGCACATGCTCATGCATCCCTCCATTTAATATGATTTGAAAGGGGCTACATAAATTTAATAAACATCCTAATATAAAGTAAGTCACAGACATTTCACCCATTCATGGGCCAACATACTGAATATTATTTGGAAAGAAAACCTATAAAGATAAACTTTGAGATTAAATGTACTTGAAGCATTTACCACAAGCCCAATAATATAAACTTTTTAAAGTGAATAAAATAAAACTATACTATAGGCTACACTAGATTTACTTCACCCAAATATCATAGATACATTTATAATAGGCAAGAGAAAATGTAAGCAAATAAGTTAGTCACCCTTTCCAAAAAGGCATTTGACTTAAGGGAATAATATAAAGGAATGAAACAAAAATTGGAGAAACATCAGCTTTATTGAAAAGACAGGGCTAGTTTATACTTCCATAATGAGATTTCCATATTTGTATAGTGTATATTTTAGTAAATGCCAAAGATATGTCACAATCCTAAACTTATGCAGAAGAGTATTTTTGCTTCAATCATTTTCAAGGGAAATAGCTTTTAAAAATGCAAAGAAATTCTGTTATTCCATTTGCCTAAGCACAATGCAGTAAATGTATTTCAACATAACAGTAGCCTTCAAATGGTATTTGAAATGGGTACGTGAAATAAATGACCCATGCATATAAGATAATCCCTTTAACAAGAAGGGAAAAAAGAGAGATGTATGCACTTCATGAAAAATGTAACATAATAGTGTAGTACTTTCAGGAAACAGTTTTTTAAATAATAAACATATATATATATATATATATATATATATATATTTTATTTTTTATTTTTCAGAGAGGAAGGGAGACAGAGAGATAGAAACATCAATGATGAGAGAGAACCATTGAACCCACACTAGGAATTGAGCCCGCAACATGGGCATGCACCCTATCAGGCATTGAAATTTGACCTTCTGGTTCGTAGGTTGATGTTCAACCACTGCACCATGACGGCCAGGCAATAATTTGATGCTATGCTTAACTGTTATAAAAATGTTCCTGGTCCCTGCTTTCTATTCCTAAGAATTTGTAATCAGAAAACACTATGTAGATAGCCCTCTATTTTTCATGCTGTAGATCTCATAACCTTCACATTCAAACTTTGCACAATAATATCCCTATACCATTTAAAATAAAACTTTTTTCTAAAATCAGTTGACAAAAAAATATTCTAACTTATTGCAAGGAGAGGATCTGGTGAACAAGAAATAAATTTTAGGAGCAAAATTTTTACTGATTGTATTGTTTCTTATATTATTGTAGAAATACAGTTTTGTCCATAGATATATATGAAAAAGAAAAAGTGCTGATGCAAGCATGGAGAGATGAGTGTGATAAAATGAATGCAATTATAAGATATAAATGATTAAACTTGTTGAAAGGAATGGATTACCACAATAATCGGATACTTGCTGAACCAAGGTCAGTCTATCTAAGGCACATGTGTCAAACACAAGGCCCTCGGGCCAAATCCGTCCCGCCAGGCCTTGCAATGTGGCCCGCACCGCGCTGTCATCACTGCACTCCGCTGCATTTCCATCACAATGACAGTTTATGACTGTTCAGTAAACCATTCGGCCCGCAATTTAGGCTGGATTTTAGATTTTGGCCCCTTCTCTGATTGAGTTCGACACCCCTAATCTAAGGCCTATCATACTGAAATAACTTAACTGAAGGGTCTAATAACAAAGGTAAGGTATAGTTACTAATGTCATAATTTTGCTACTTAGGAACTGAAAACACAAATTATGTATGTTTAATCAAGTACAAATGTAGGGGGGCTACATATAATATAAAATAATAAAACAGCATTATAAAGATGTATACAGCAACATTCCTTATAAAAATACAAAACCCAAAACATTTTAAATGTCCAATAAGAAAGTACAGTACAATAAACTATGCTGTGTCAACTAAAAGAAGTATCATGTTGTCATTAAAATAAGTATAAAATATGCATCAATATCAAATTATGTTTATAAAATAAAATTACTTAAAGACATAAAATTATTTAAAGCCATCATCATTATTGTAACTATATATATACTATTGCAAATATACATACATCCTATCTAATAAAAGAGTGATATGCAAATTGACCACACCCCTGCAACACCCACCAGCCAATCAGGAGCAAGTATGCAAATTAACCCAACCAAGATGGCTGTGGCCATGGACCTAGCAGGAGGCTTGGGTTTCCCCTGCAATGGAGGAAGACAAGCTCCCGCAGCCCTGGCCTCAACTCAAGGTTACAAAGTTTCAATTATAGAAGATAAATCCCAACAAAAATGGCAGTAGCCACAGAGCTAAAGAGAGCAGGAGGCTTGAGTTGCCCCTGGTGATGGAGGAAGCCAAACTCCTGCAGCCCTGGCCTCCACTCCAGGCTACAGAGTT